ATGTAACAGCATTATTTATTACTCTTCTCTCTTGCTCTAGGTGTCAGGACTGAACAGGATCTGTATGTTAGACTCATTGATTCAGTCACTAAGCAGGTGAGCATAGCTAATATATGCCGTATGCTGTGCTATCCTGTCCTGCCTCATCCTTCCTTTTCTCTTAACATTGCCCTGCATGTTTTTTCTTCTCTGGTTCATTTTTGTCTCTTGTTCATCTGTATTGCAGACCTTATTTTTGAGGGCAATTGAAAAGTAATGCTCTTCAGTCTCTCTTCCCCCCCCCCACCGGATTGTAGGTTTTTATCCACTTTTTATCAATATTTATGTATAAGCTGCTTTCCCTGCTCATAACGGCTTTGGGGGAACGTATTTATTTGCGAGCGATGGTGAGCAACGATAAAAAGCCTTCATCTCCAGATCTGCGTATTATGACAAATAAGTAACCCCCTGATGCTACTGGCTTACCCCTTTTCTTAATTGTTGTAGCCCATAACTTACGAAGGACAGAACAAGAATCCCGAAATGTGCAGAGTTTTGCTTACCCATGAAGTCATGTGCAGGTAAGATGACTTTATTAACAGCGTATCATTTGCTAAGTTTGTTTCCACAGATGCCAAAATGGCCTTTCTGATGAAGTTGTAGGTAGGAAGAGTTTGATTTTTTTGTTGTTTTTGTTTGCTTGTTTTGTTGTAGAGTCAGAGAGATTCTTGGTGTAGGAAGACTTTCTTTTTACACGTGGATAATACTCAGTTTGGGTTCAATACAGGTATTTGGGGTGTGGTTTTTTTTTTTAATCGTTGTTTGGTTTTGTACTGCAGGAGATTTAGCAACCCCAGGTCCACAGTCTGAGCTGCGCTGTTTTTCTTTAAGCTAGGCCTTTGTATGTGTTGTTTAAATTGAGACTTTTCATATGCTTATTTCTTACAAAATTCCTGTTCACCTTTTGAGAATGAGCAGTTTAACTTACAGATTTTTACCTGGAAACTAAAAGGCATTCTTCATGTAATTTTTTCCGGTGAAATATTTTAATTTTCTTAATTAAATTAGCATCATTACTATTCTTTAGTTTGGCTTAGTTCTACCCCAACCAAAAAAGAAACTCCTCAAACCAAAACACGAATCCTTCTTTTCAATACTGTGTAAGCAATATTTAGGGGACTTCCACCTTTTAATTAAAAAGACACTATTTTTAGCATGTAAAGTTATAAATTAGAGGGTAAAATGAGTTGAGGATGTTTTTAATAACATTTGTATAAGTCTGAAGTTACATGTACCTGATGTATGTATATCGTGCTTCCATGGTAACTTATTACTTTTCCTCTTCTCATGTAATTAAATTTTTTTCAATACATATAACAATGCAAACAGTCAATGTTCTTATATTAAAATGTGTTAAATTGTGCATAGAATGTTCTTTCATAAGGTGAAAGGCAAAACCAATCTTGACCTTTATTAAACACAGTTCGTGATTTATTGTATTAGTGGGAGGGGGTTAAGCTGTTGGACTGAATGTTGCTTCTTTTAATGTTGCAGTTTGCTACTTGAATTTTTTTTTTAAAGTAGCTTTTTAAGTTAATATAGTAGTAAGAGAAGCTTATTTGGACAGACTTCTTGCTACGGGAAAGTCTCAGTTTCAGTACCTAACAATTATGTCAACTATTCCATTACTTTTAAAGTATAAGAAGAATCAAGTAAATGTATAGTGTTTATCTGTTGTGCTTTGCTCGTTACTTAAGAAAATGAGCGTTGTTACTTTTGACCAATATTCAGATATGTATGCACAAACACAGCGTATATCATGTATGAAAGGTGCATACAGTGCCCTTTATGAGGACCTGTAGATGTAGTAGGAAAGGTCAAAGGTATATATGTTACTTTCTGGCGCATCTAGAACTGCGTACTTATTTAAATACATATGCTATCCATATTGTTGAAAGTCTTCACTATAATTAGGCGAACATTAGAGAAGAAAAATCTTTGAATTGCTGTGCAGTTGGGTCCTGGTTTATGATAACAAAATAACAGTTAGTATAGTATACTTCACCTTTCTCTGCTTTTCCTGTATAGAGTGCAGTTCTATTATAGAAGTTAAAATATTTCAGCAAACACCAGCACCTTCCCATCCAAATGTAATTCTTTAAAATAAAACTAATTTGGCTTTTTCCCCTGCTTCTTCTCCATGCCTTTATTGTATAAAATGCTCTGTTCAGCTTTTATGTACCTGGCCTCCACTAATGCCTATAAATATACTGTGTGCTTAATTTAAGGTAGTATTCTACAAATGTAAACCATTATTCCAGTTATACTGAACTCTCCTGCTTGATAGGTTAGCCGAGGAAGAATTACAACGGAAGGACGTCCTTTCCATGTAAAACACAGATTAGTGAAGGAAATCAAAAGGACTCCGTAACCTAATCAAAACGTTTGATTTTAAATGTTGTGTTTTCCTAAAGTATCCCTAAACAGGATGCTGTGTATTCTGAAGAGGCATTACACACATCATTTTGAATAATGCCAAGGGAATGGATCCAACTCTAGTTAAACTTGACATTTTATTTTATTTCTTTTAAGTACAATAATCAAATCTTCCTCATTGTGTGCTGCTTAAGTGGCAGCATAAATTTTTAAAGCCCCTAGTTTAGTTTGCATTAGTAACAGTATATAAAAATTTAATGCACAGTACCCTCTCTGCTGTCCAAATTGATGCCTACTGTTTTTAAAAAGAAGGGTCTGCCTGTCTTTCCGCTCCTCTTCCAATCCTTGCTAGTTAAAGGTAGGCTTTTTTGGGGTATTTTTTTGTACGTAATCCCACACACAGATATTCTTGCTGCATAGAAACAAGTGCCTCGGAAACTCTGCATCTTCCACTCAGACAGTGACAGATGCATGCTTAGCAGCAAAGTTGTCTAAATATTGATACGGCTACAGCAATCTGTCATGGCAATTGAAAGTTAAACTCTCAATAATTAGTGCTTTCTGTAAGAGGCTCTATTTATTTATTTGCAGATCTGAAATTTTTCATATAGGTTATTACGGCCTAATGGGAAGTGTTCCTATTAGGTAGGTCTATCTTAAATACGCAGTCTTTCCCCTCAATGGTTGGAAATCAAGGTAAACAGTCTCCTCTCCTGGAATAACTTTTTTTTTCCTCTTCTTTTTCTTCCAATTATCGACTAAGAGGAAACTAGTTGTTATGCTGCTGCCAGCAACCCCCTATGCCCTCAATGCTCAGAGGGTTAAAAGGTATTATAATTTGAACAGAAGTAGTCTCAGGGCCTACAGCTGGCTAATAACAGAGTTGTATTGAGTGCAAGCAAGCCCCACAGCTGTGACTTTCGCCACAAGGCTCAGACTAGACAGGAGCTCTAATCAGCTGGGCCAGGCGGCCACTGGGGCCTGTGTCTTTATCGGCCAGATGGTGTGAATTTAGACACTTTTGTTATGCAATTGCAGGGAGGAGTTGGGGAGAAGAAAACAAAACAAAGGCCACCATGCTGTGAGCTTATTTGAGTTTGAAATTAGAGACAGATTTTTTTTTTTTTTTTTTTTGATGGGGGAGTGAGGGGAGGGAAGTTGAGGGATGAATTTTAACACCATTTTAGTCAAGGGTGAGAAGGGAAAGGATGCAAGTTTGCCTTTGACGTGAGTCTTCTGGAGTATTCAGTTTGTAGATCTGGTGTTGTCTGTGGTAGGTTTTTGGTTTCTGCGTTTGTTTTTACCTTTTTTCAGGACTGTCCATAATGTAAACCATTATTTTTTCCATGTAGATCTAGTTAGAGGGGAAAGTACAATAAGAAAAGGTGTAGAAAACAGGAGTCTTAGGTCTAGATATTCTTGTTTTAAGCAAATGAGGATCTCTAAAGGTATGTTCCTAGCACAACATTGTAGCAGAAGTGCAAATATTGCTGAAGTCATGCCAATAATTTGCTTTAAGAGAATATTTAGGCTTAATCCTGGACCACCAGAGTTTGGGATTTTTGCCATTGACTTAAATTGGAACAAGTCAATTCTGTTACATAGGCACTTGTAAAACAAACCCAGTGGAAATGTTAGTGCTAGGATACTGTGATTAAATACTTGGAAACAGGGATTTAAAGATTTGAGAGGTACTTTTGCTAAAATGCTGGGCTGAAACATCCTGACTTACATGTGAACTAGTAATTCGCTGGAAGTGAGTGACTGTTTTCCACAATCAAGACATTTTTCCATATATGTTTGGGCTCAAAAAGTAATATTTGCAAATGGAAAAAAATCTAGCACTAACAAAAATCTGTTACCCAAGTGTGATAAGAATGTAGGTGTTTGTAAAATATTCGGAAAACTTTAGCTGTAAGCCACAGTTTTAGAAGGAAAATTTTTAAGTATAACAAATGTAGAGTTCCTAACTGTGATAATTGTGCAAACTAAAATAAAAAAATATACTCTTATTTCGGAACCAAGCCATGTTGTACTCCAATCTCATATAATTCATTCTAAAACACAACCTCTCTGGGAAGAGTGTATGAACTCATGAGATGTGGTGGAGGTACTGCTGGTGTATTCTGCTTCAACGTTACCGTGTAGTAGTGCAATCGGAAATATTTTTATGACCGTCTGCATAAGTTACACAACTAAAGGATCTCTCATTTAGTAGTATTGCAAAGAGAGGAAATGACTGCTGTTTCAGCTAGCTGTAAGAAAAACCAAAACAACACTACAAAAATATTTTAAAAATTTAGTTCCTTTTGTTGTTTTATTATAGCAGCATGTAAACCAGCAAGGTATTTATTCCCAGTGTTATTTCCAATGCATTGTTATATTGGACGTGTCAGAAGTACATGCCAAACTTATACTCTTCTGAGTGAGGGTTTTCTGCTTTTGGGGTTTTTATTTTGTTTATGTAGAAAATATCTCAGATTTTAGCTTTTAGTGCAAAAATATGCAATTCTTTATAAACAATCATTAGGCACTGAAATGCATAAAAGATGCACTTAAAACAAAGTTGGGAGAAGGAGGGAGTGGGATATTCTTAGCCAGTGTGAATTACCATAGCTTCACTGAAGTCGATGGAGCTATGACAATTTACAGCAGCTAGAGGGTCTGCCCCAGGGATTTTTAAATATTTAGTGTATCCTTTTATTTTAGAAGGACTAGCATCGACGAATAAGTGCAGGTTTGAGGCAAAGGGAATGTAGAAATGTTGAAACAGTTTAGAGCTGATATTCAAATAAATCTGCTAGTTGTATCTCATCTTGCTGGGCAATTTCAACTTGCAAATGTGAAGTTCCTGGCACACACTGTAACTTAAGGAGAAAATGCATGTATTTGCAATTTTTCATATCTGAAAGAGGTTTTTTTTTTGTCTAAATGCTTATTTTAGGTATTTATAATTGAATATTAGGCATTTCAAGAAAAAAAAACTACTCTTCATATTTTGCATTGCCTTCAGTGAATTTAAGCATTTAATTTTCCTTTTTTTTTTTTTTTGGATTCTGCTTGGAATTACTCTCCAGTTGGAAAACTGTGGGATTCAGACTGACTTGAGAATTTTGCAAATGTATTCAGCACCTATTATACCACTGTACAAAAACCCAAACAGTTTCTTGATTCCATATGTGTAAATTTGAACAACCTCAGCAGAATGTGAAAAACCTAATTTGGAAAGGCAATTGTGTCACTTAAGGCAGAATTTGATCTGGTGACTTTTGAGGCATGTGGGACTTCTGATACGGTCTACTTAAAGTTTTGGATGCTTCCATCCTCCCCTTCCCATGTTAGCTTTGGTTAGAACAAACTATCTGATCATCAAGGCAGCGTAAATCTTCTAACAGACTTCTATGTGGCTACAAATTTTTGAAACTGAGAATTTCAGAGCAAGAACTGTTTTTAAAGTCTATTAAACTTGTGGTATTCAGCTGGTGTATATACAAGGAACATCCTCCATGTCAATGAGTGTATCTGTGGAAATCAAATAATGACCTGATTTTTTTGTTTGTTTGTTTTCTATTATTAAAAATAGGAAAACAAAATGCAGTGGTTCTGTTCTTTGCTAAAGAAAGTTTAATTTGCTGGGAGTGAAGAACAGCAAATAGTTCTTGAGTGTAGGTTCTATTCTTCTGTACCATCTCCTGATATATGTGTGTATACATGTACACATCTGTGCACGTGTGCGCACACATGTACACACACACAGTTGTCTTTGCATATGTGTGCATGCGTACATGCATAGATGTGGACATAACATGGATATCATTCTGCAATACACACTTTACTGCAAGCTCATGAGAGCGACAGCATTATCTTGCATTTTCTTACCAGGTCAGATAAGCTCACAACATAAAATAAATATATTTATCAGACAGAGTTCTAATTTCTGTACAATCATGTTGGTGGCCACACAGCTTAAAATGTGTGTACATACATGCTTAATCTTAAGGGCTTACCAGTGAAACAACCGTGAAGGGATTTACAGACAAAATGCGAACCTGAAAAACACCTCTGCAGATCCTTAGTAGGATCTAAGTATATTCACTTTCTGTTTTTTCATCAATGCTACTATAGTGTTGAAGTTTTCTGTGGGTATATGAAACTTCGGGGCTACTAGATACTTAATAATCAACAAGTCAGTTACTAGAATATAACAAATCATTAGGTTGGGTATAGTCAGTTCTAACACCTTCTTTTGATGGACTTTTAACCATAGATAACACAATACTCATGCCTGTAATGTCATTATGACATCTGTTAACCATTTATTAAGCCTTTATAAATAGCACCTTAGTCTAAAGCATGACCATGTTGCTGTTCATTTTTGGCTGGGAATGTTAAAAAAGACTATGGGGAGCCAAGTGCCAAACTCCAGCTGAAATCAACCTGGATTTGGGCACTCAATTCCCTTAGTTGTTCTCCCTTCTGGAAAGCCTAGCCAGAATTTTCTCAGTCACTCTTCTAGGCATATGTTGAGTCCTGAAGGTTTGCAGACAAGACTTTGAGCTGGCTGCTTTGCTATCAACTGTTCCAGTAATTCTTTAATTTTGGTTTTCTTTCTCTCTCTAGCCGGTGCTGTGAGAAGAAAAGTTGTGGCAACAGAAATGAGACTCCATCTGACCCCGTAATCATCGACAGGTAGGAAACCAATCCTCTTTTTCCCACAAAAGCACCCCCAAATTGTTGTTTTGCTTTGAGGTGGCTGAGGGTACTTCTTGATGGTTATCTGTCAGTGTCTGCCATTTGGGGATGTCTGTGCTTCATGATTCTTTACAAAAATGCCAGCCTAAGAGTTGGTTAGCTTTAGTCCACCTGGGCTTACCTTGACAAAATTGATGTTTATTTTTTAAATTAAGTTCTCTGTATATCGCTTTCATTGTCACCAAATATTCTGTATATGCATCTGGAATATTTCCTGTTTGCTAGGGATAGGATCCAACTGGATTACTGAGATCAATAAAACTTAGAGCAACCTGGCAGCTTCAGTAATATTCTTTAACAAAATAATTATTTTTGTAGAAATTAGGAGCTGGAAGAAGGTAGGGGCAAAGACAGAAGTGCACCATATTAGGCAGTATTAAAACTCACGGTTTGGGGACTGTGAGCAACTTTGTGTAGTACAGCAGCTTGATATATTACTCAGATCCAGGTCTAGGTTCTGCTTGCCAGTTTCTAGGTGAATAACATAAACAGGGGAGAGCAGCAGATTGTTAAATCGTGAACTGGCATGTTAAAAATTGTCGATATTTGTGGAAGCTTAGAAAACTAGCCTGTGGAACTTGCTGACTCAAAGTGTTGTTTGAGATTTAGAGTTCAGCAAGATTCAAAATGGGAAAATAAGCTGTCTCAAAAAGAAGTATGCAACCAAGATCTCCAGAAGGAGAACAGTAAATAAGGAAAAGTCAGGAAGAAACCTTTCCCCCCCCCCAATCATTCTATAGTAACTGTTTAAAGAGTTTCTTTTCCCTGAAGCAGCTGGTACAAGGGGCCAGTGGAGAGCTGATGCTGAAATGGATTGATTGTGGATTCAGTTTTTATGTCTGTATGTGTCTGGCACATTCTATCTACGTTCGAATGAGTACTATTTGTCATAGTATTTCTTGTGAATTTGTTTTGGCATTCAGAATGGTCAAGCTGGTTTGAATAAAGATCTACAATTATTTCCTTCATTTTTTTTCATCACAGAGTTAATCTAAATAAGTTTGGAACTTTGATGATATGATGGGGTTCTTCCACTCCCTTTACCCCCATGGTTTTCCCTTTGAATTTTGTACTTGCCAGTTGTTGTTGGGGCTAAAGGTGGAAATTCCAGCAAACTGGGCTGGGGGGGGGG